GTCTCTGGGAATTCTCCATCCTGTTTGTGGAGACAGTCAGCTTCCTCCCTGGCTTTCCTGGATACCGTTCTCTGCTTGTCCAGAGTCAGCAAAGTTTGGAGCATAGACTGTATATCTTATATCTGCCCAGTTAGGGCAGTGCGAGAGGAAGATAGAGGCAAACAAGTTTGCCATCCTCTTAGGAGCTTGCCAGTATGAAGGGTTACAGAGCTCCTCCAATTTAGGAGGTCCGCGGGGCTAAAGGGATGGTGTGACCAAAAATACCCAGCAGGTCGTCCATGTTCATTCAAGCCACCCATCAGCATCTGTCTGAGAGAAAACTGTCCTGCCTCAGGGTGACCCTTCCTGCCAAAGTGGGTGCCCCTGCTAGTGTGGGGAGGAGAAGCCATTTTTGTTTCTTCCCTGGAGGGCAGTGGGGCCTGTGAAGCCTCAGAAGTCTGCACAGGGGAAACATTGCTACACTGAGGAGGCTTCTGTCCCGGTGTGTTTAAGGAATGCAACAAATGATAATCCTCCTCTTCTAATTCTGCCCTCTTGCAGTCCTCATGGCAGGGGTAAGGTTTATTCTTTCTCTGTGCCATCAGCTGAGCCTCCCTCACATCCAGTTTTTGGAGGGCAGCCTGTATCTGGTCCTGCACACTTTTTTAAAAATTTTTTTTTAAACTTTTTTTTTCAAAGATTTATTTACACAAGCACTAGGGTACAGGCCAGAGGCGCGGGAGGGTGAAAGAATTCACCAGAGATAGAGCAGGGAGCAGAACAGGCAGAAGGACTTAAGTACATTGCTGAGGGGAGCAGCAGGCGAGACAGGAGAGGTCTGCCTCGCCATGTGGGGATCTCCCTGGCCGGCTGGGAATAGAACCTGTGATGTGGAGGCTGCGGACATCACCAGGGAGGCCCTGGTCCTGCACACTTTTAAGAACTGTGCTGTTTTCCTCCCTCATACTCTGCACAGCTAAATTGAGAGCCTGAATTTTTTTTTTAAAGATTGATTTATTTATTTATCCATACAAGCACTGGGTACAGTCAGAAGTGCGGGAGGGTGACAGAATTCACCAGAGCCAGAACAGAACAGACAGATAAACGAAATACACTGTCGAGGGGAGCAGCAGGCGCAGGAGAGGTCTGCACGACATGTGGGACCCTTGCCAGCAGCGGGGATTGAACCGGTGTAGCAGAGGCTGCCGGCAGCTTTGCAGCCCAGCACTCAACCACTGCACCACCAGGGGAGGCCCTGAGAGCCTGAATTTATTGCTGCATGGTCTCAATAGGTGGAGTGTAGCATCTAGCTCTCAGAGAAGCAACAATGTAGCCAGTGGTGCTCACACACTATAGAAAAACAGCCAGAAGCACAAATTGCAAAGCAGGGATGGCTTGCAAGCCACCCAAGTAAGTATGTAAAAACAAAATCATGTGCCACAGCACGGTTTCACTAAATTATTTAATTATAAAAGTGGTAGTGATGTTTAAAGGAGGAAAATTGAAAGAATTTAAGCTAGGGAGGAAATTGCTTAAGCTCATGGTTGAAAAACAAGACAGAGCCTTATGAAAGAAAAAAAAAAAAACTGTTCAAGACCTGGGACAAAGACTTTTACTAGTGTCCTGCAGACCTAATGTGCTTAAGGTGACCTAGGCAAGGATTACTTCAGGCTGGTCTACCATGGATGTAACTTTGAGCCCCATGTTGGGCCCTGATACAAAACGGGTTGCCTGACTGTGGGTCCTCACCTGTTCGCTTAAAGGGGACTTAAGCTGCAGGCACACAATAAAGTTAACACAAGGTTTATTCACAAGGGAAAGGGAAATGAGGAAATGTACAGCTCAGGGAGGAAAGAGGGAGATAAATTCTTAAATGAGTCCTACCCATTCTGCTGACCTGGAATCCCAAATACTCCACTAAGACCAAACCTGCCTGGCCAAGAGCACAAGGCAAGTGCCAGAGACCCCACTAATATGGCTGGTTTTATTTATAAGCAGAGAAAATGGCTGCTTAAGTCTGCCCTTAGGTCCTCCCAACTTCCCTTTGGGGATCATGGGATTTGTAGTTCCCAATGTCTTGATGGAGTGGGGATGGCATTCACAATGCCTGTGTGGAGTTTGCCCAGGACATCCTTTCCCCCTAACAACCTCAGCAGTGTATTTCAGTAGATCTGCCTGTTCTGCTTCCTACTCTATCTGGTGAATCCTCTCACTCTGCATCTCTAGTTTACACCCCAGTTCTTGTATGCATAAATAAATAAATCTTAAAAAAAAAAAGAACCCCTTTGTATCCACATTGCTTACAACCCATCAAGCCATGGCCAGTGCTGCCCCGTCTGCACCTCACCTATTCTTATCTCTACTCTCTATTATATTTTAAGTCCCAGATATCATTCCATTTTTTCTTGTATACATGTTTCAATATGTATTTCCAAATGAAGTCTTGTTTTAACTGGTAGTAAGAACACTAAATATGAGATCTATAGATTTTTAAGTGCATAATACAATATTGTTAACTGTAAGCACATTGTCACACAGCACACCTCTGGAACTTACTCTCATTGCATTGTTGAAACTTCCGGCTTGGCAAAGCCCACTGACTGCCCACTGACTGCCACCACTGACTGCCACCGTTCTACTATTTTAGATACCTCATACAAGTGTTTTCCTTCCATGACTGCTTTATTTCACTTAGCATAATGTCCATCATCCATTATGCAGCATATGGCAGGATTTCCTTTTTTTTAAAAGTTGCTTAATTTATTCCATTCTATGCTTACTCCACAATTTTTCTATCTGTTCTTCCATTGATGGACATTTAGGTGGTTTCCACATCTCGATAGTGTGGATAATGCTGCCGTGAACATGGGAGTACAGATACCTCTTTAGATCCTGATTTCAATTCTTTTGGGTAAATACCCAAAATTAGGATTACTAGATTACTTAACACTATGATCATATCCATAAAGACCCCAGACAAAACATGTGTTAGTACTACATTTCTTCTTAATGCTGAATAAAGCTCCATTGTGTGAATACCATAATTTATATATTCATTCATCGTTGGTGAACATTTTGCTGCAGTGAATAATAACTGCTGCGAACATTCATGACAAGTATTAAGCGAACATGTTTTTATTTCTCTTGGGTATATATGTGGTAGTGGAATTGCTGGGTTATTTGGTAACTCTGTTTAACCCTTTTAAGGAACTGCCAAACTTTTGCAAGGTAACTGCACCATTTTACATTACTTTTATTAATGTTTGAGGATTCTGGTCGCTACACATCTTTACCAGCACTTGTGATTGATTGTCTTTCTATTTTTGCCATGTTAGTGGGTGAGAAATGAAATGTCGTTGTGATTTTGATTTTGATTTGATTTTCATTTGTCCCTAATGAGCAGTGAGTTGACTTTGTTGACCATTTGTTTGTTTTATTTTCAGAAGTGCCTATTCAAATCCATTACTGATTTTTAAATGTTTTTTGTCTTTTTAGCATTGTTCTAAGAGTTCTTAATATATTCTGAATGCAAGTCCTTAACAGATATGATTTGTAAATATTTTCTCCCATTCTGTGGGTTCATTTTTTAATTTTCCTGATGATACTGTTTATAGCTCAAGAGTTTTATATAAATGAATTAGTCCAATCTGTTTATTTTTTCTTTTGACATTCTTTTGTGGTCATATCTAAGAAACATTTGCCTTTATCCAATAGGTTCTTACGAGCCTTACAGTTTTAGCTCTTAGATCGAGGTCTATGATCAAGTTACTTATTGTATATGATTTGGGTTCCAGCTTCATTCTTTCATATGTACATATCCAGTTTTTCTAGCATCATTTGTTGAAGAGACTTGTTTCTTCACTGAATTGTCCTTCTTGTTGAAAATCAGTTTACTGCAAATATAAGGGTTTATATCTGAATTCTATTCCCATGTTCTATCTGTATGTCTGTTCTCAGGCCAATACCACACAATCTTGGTTACTATAATTTTGTTTAGTAAGTTTTGAATTTCGTTTGCTAATTTTTTGTGAAATCAGTTTTCCTGGACTTGAAAAGTGTAGGAAGTTACTTTTTCCAACTTCATAGTCTAAGAGCTCCCTCTTTTGCTATTTGAATGAAGTGTTCAGAAATAGGATTTCATGATTTCTGAGATCTGGGTCTGTTTCTCTCTGCTTTTTTTCCGTCACCTCTTTTATTTCTTGGTCCATGAGCTACTCAATTTGAAACCCCCTCCCAGCAGTATACAATGTAAAGACAAAAAAAAAAAACTCACCCCTGGTCCAGATAACTCCTTTTGGCAATTTTTAGAAATAGGTAACATGTTTATATGTAGGAGTAATTATGTAAAAGGCCCCCATGCTTATCTATTAAGAGTTTCAGGAAATTTCTTTCAGAGAAAAAAGTATATATTTATCAAAATATATGTAATTATTCTTTAATATATGTATGTACAAATTATTTTTCAAGTTTCTTATTTATGTTTCAAATTGAGATTATGTGCAAGCTGAAGGATATTACTACCATATATATAGTTTTAAGACTTCGCAGAATAATTCACATAGTGGAACTCTTCTCCTTTTGAGCTCTTTTTAAAAATAGACAGGGTTCCTCTATGGTTTGGGCAAGGAAACAGGGCCACCAGGTACAGGCAGTTTTCCCAAGGTCATCTCTCACTTCCTGAAGGTCTAGCTAATGTTTTTGATGATCCTGTTCACGTAATTGCTAATCCCATTAGTGTATTCTGTGTTTAAGCATCTTTTCTGTGGTGAGGTTATCTTGGTTCTGTCACACTTGGATCCCAGCCATACTTAGATCTGTCCCCTCTGGGGACACTTTCAGATAACATGTTTTTCTGGAATTCTGGTAACTTTGTTGCCTTGAGTAGAAGTGCTTTCTCTGTCAATAGTATCTTTGCTGTCAATTAGAATTTTTTCAGTTCAAAAAAATTTTCCCTGAAGGTTGGAGAAATTGCCGGAGGGGTACTGATGATGCTTCTGGGGACTTGTGTTTGTTCTTTCCAGGGGAGCCGGGAAGTGGGACAGAGAGTGATACTTCTCCAGACTTCCACAACCAGGAAAATGAGCCCAGCCAGGAGGACCCTGAGGATCTGGATGGATCTGTGCAGGGAGTGAAACCTCAGAAGGCTGCTTCTTCTACTTCCTCAGGGAGTCATCACAGCAGCCATAAAAAACGAAAGAATAAAAACCGGCACAGGTCAGTGGCAGGGACCAGCCCCTGCCCCACCCCACCGCCCAGAGCTTCCATTGACCATTGCTGGGAAGGGGGGTTATTAGAATGAGAATTCTTCAGGAGTGGTACAGTCTTTCTGTTGCTGATGGGAAGGAATTCCTTTTGTCCAAATGAAATAGGCTTGAGTTTTCTCTCTCTAAGGGAGAAATTAGTGGGCAGTAGTGAACCATGCAGGAGAACATCCATTCTTTCTAGTGTCCAAGATTTTTATTCCATAACAGCTTTGTTAATACAGTGAATTTAGAAGCCTTTTAGAAGAGGAAAGGGGGAAATAGAAATGGAAACTGTAATTGTATTGAAAATGCTGCTAACATGTTGGAAAGCTGCAAAGTGGGATAAAGTCTTTTGCTCTTAATCCTGATCCCTGTCTACTCTTACTCCCTTGTGGAGAGAGAGAACTGATCTGACATGCTCTTTTTTCTTTTCAATACAAGTTTTTGGTTGCTTGTGACTTCTGTTGTTATAATGCCTACAATACACAGACTTCAGATATCAGAGACAAATCAAAGTCCTTTATGAGATAGGAGAGCGAGTTAATGTTTTTCCACTGTGTTTTATTTTCAGGGCATAATGAGCTAGTAATGACATCAGTGCACAGAGAGGTCAGGTGTCACCAGAGAGGATTATAACATTTGCTCTTCTTAGGGTTTGTATGATAATGCTGGGGCCTGTTAATTCAGATAATTGGAAATTATTCTGCTACGCTCAGAGAGGTAATGCATATATCCCAGAGTAAGGAATTTTGCCCTGACCTCAACTGTTCTGGCGTGGATAAAAATCAGGGATCCAGAGTGACTTTTGTCCTGTTCCTCTTAGCTGTGTGCTGAGCAGATGAAAGGGGTCCTACAAGCAATGGTGGGGCCCTGTTCTCTAGTTTGTTTCTGGATTGGGTTGCTTTACAAACCTGTAGGATATTCTTTCACACACCTAAGGTATTAAAGCTGTTAGCTCTGTGGATATAAGCACACAGGGATAATATAGAATTAGCTGCCTGTATTAGACCAGCAGGGACTTTGATTTGTCTCTGATATCTGAAGTCTGTGTATTGTGGGCATTATAAAAACAGAAGTCACAAGCCTCTGTAGCATCAACTGATTCTTTACTTCTTTGAGAACTTCTTTTATTGATAGTACAGAAGTAGTATATTCTCCAAATAGTGACCTAGGATTGCTGCTAAACATTTTTCTGTAAACCAAAAATCACTATGCCACTATCATTACTAGTAAGAATAGCAAAGATTGCTTTTTTTTTAAACAAAGCCTTCGGTTATTTGATCAGTGTGATAGGATTTAATCATAAATAGTAGTAGAGAACCATTCTTTTAAAGATATTCTAAAAATTGTCAAGATAATTAAATGTCATGCTCTGTGTTGCTTGTATTAAATTTACTCCTGTGTAATTTAAAAGTAATGATTCTCCTATTTCAGGGTGTCTAGAGTAGGGGGGAAATTCCTTGAGAGTTTGTAGGACATTTTATTTTTCATTACTGGTACAGTAGACCCCCCAGCTATTACTTCAGATAATACCTTATGACATGGCAGCTGAGTGGGAATTAGACAGTGAACTTAACTTTTCTTCTTGCAGGTTTCTAGTAAATTTCTGTAGGGACAGCACGTCTTCCTACCCTTTCTTTGGCCTTAGAAGCAAAATTCCTTCCAGAACAATACTGGGATTTATAAAGATCATTGATGTTACTGCTTTTATAAATGTTGTTTTCTGTTTGGAAAGTTATTCCCCTGGCTTAATATCTGGCTGGACTTCTCCCTTTGTTTTCCCTAAGCAAGCAGAAAGCCGCTTTGCCTTCTTTCTGGAGAAAACAAGCTCTCGCTGCATGAATGGAGGCCTCCTGGCCACTGGAGGTTCTTGGATTTCTGCTGTCTTTAGTTAGGCATTACATCTCTGAAACCCCTCATATCCCTGACTAGTGTCCTAGTGAGTCTGACAGAGTAGGGATTAGGGGCAGCACTTTGTCTATGTACGTTTTCAAGTTTGCACCCAAAATAGTACATCCTGTATAGATAGTCAGAGCAAGTCAATATTTATTTCAAATAACATCTGAGTACCTGCTATGCTTAGTGGTGAGTAAGCTAAGTGGAAATAAATATGGTACTTTAGCAAAAGGGAGTAATTTTTAAATTTGTCCTCTTCAGGAACATGAAAATTTACCATACAATTTTTAGCATTCATAAATTCATAAATTTAGCATTCACTAAATTTAGGATTCAGTGTTCTGAATTCTTATATTTTATATAATATTTGAACAATAAGTCCTAGTAGCTTTAAAGAAAAAAGTTGAAATAGTAACTTCAAACTGATCTTACAGATTTTACCTACTATACTGAACTTTAGAATTCTTCAAGGTAGTTTGTGAAGTTTTCATTAATGTCAAATGGGAGCAGTAGATATAGTGTACTATGTAGATATAGTCTACTTTGATTTGGTTTGATTTGAACAAAGTTAAGGTAGACTGAAAGTTAATTTTTTTTATATTTTCTACTCTGTACACTTAGTTCCAAAATGTCTTATGTGAAACTGTTGCTCAAGGGATATTGATATTAAGCTTCCTTCCAGCTTCACTTTTGCAAACATTGGCTAAGAGGAAAATATGGCCATTTTGCATATTGTTTTACCACCTGTCTACAGCCTGAAAGGTGTGGAGTCAACTAAGGAGCTGGGTGTCATGCTCTGGGTCAATGTTTGCTTTGGAGGTCTGCCCAGACCACTGGTCTTGGCAGTGATGGCACATGATGGCCTCTTCTATCTAGATGGCTCCCATCTAGATCCCTAGGCTTGGTTGCTTGTGAGTGTCCACTTTCCTTTTTTTTTTTTTTAAGATTTATATATTTATGCATATAAGAGCTGGGGTACAGGCCAGAGATGCGGGCAGGTGGGGGGGGGTGAGAGGATTCATCAGAGACAGAGTGGGGAACAGAACAGGTGGATTGACTGAAATACACTGCTGAGGGGAGCAGCGGGTGAGACAGGAGAGGTCTGCTGCGCCATGTGGGTTGCCCCTTGGCTGGCTGGGGATCAAACTCGTGCTACAAAGGCTGTGGATTGCTTCATGGTGCAGTGCTTAACCCCTTGCGCCACCAGGGAGGCTCAGAGTTTCCTTCGTTTTTATAGAGACACAGTAGACTTTTGTGTCCCATAATTGTAGTCCTGATATACGTAATTAACTTATCACTAATTCAAGGGTCAGAGTAATATGGTTCATCAGTTTTGGAACAAAATTATATCACTGAAATTATATTCATTAGATGCTTGGCTTCTAGAATGAAAACTATAGAAAAGGAGTACTCTGTTAACTGAGTACTTTTAGAACATAACTTCATTTAAAAGTTACAAAATGTTTTTTTTTTATTTATAATGTTTGTGTCTTTTAGTGAAAGTGTATTATGCTAAGTTGTTAATACTGTCTTCAGAGCACTTTTTTCTATATGACTAAACCCTTCTTTTTCTCTTGTATAATGCTCTAATTACATTTTCCATTACAATTAAATATTTTAAAAGTTCTAACTCTGAATCTGGCAGTTAATAGAAGACCTGCAGGTATCTAGTTTTCTAATGAAATAACTTTTCGTATTCTGTTCTTCTGAAATAAAATCTATTGAGGGAAGGGAGTCTCCCAACCACAAAATCCTTGGGGCTTTGATGATTGAGACTTTATGTTTTATTATTCTTTAAACTGATTTTGTGTCTACAGATCTTGCTAGGGTGGCTAATCAACTAATTTATTCAATTAGTATATTAATTTCTATTGCTTTCTTCCTTTCAAATGCTGCCCCTCAGCCCGTCTGGCATGTTTGATTATGACTTTGAGTAAGTTTGATTTGAATTAGTATTTGTGCTGTGTTGTTTAGTGTGTAGAGACCAATATGCCTTTTTGAGACCTTTCTAACCCATAGTTTATCTGTTTAATTGTAGGTATGTATATTAGGTTAGGCTGGGAAGTTTTTTTTAAAAACAGAAAAACGTGATGGAGGTAACATTTTATTTAATAACTTAAGCAAAATTAAGTAAACTTCACTTTTATGCATTTTAATTTCTTTTAAAATAGATAACCTTTAATTCATTTTAAAATTGATTTTCTGGCTTTGCTTCATAAGGAGATTAATAGTTTAAGATCTTGATGTTTTACTTTGAAAAGATTTAAAAATTGAAATTTGTTTAATTTTTTTGTGTTTCATGTCCAGAAATACAAACTCCTAGTCTCTTTCCTGTTCTTAATCACTGTGTGTCTCAGTGATCATCAGTGACATAGTTACAGAACTAACACATTAACATAGAGCATGCCCTCTTAATCCAATCTCTTTAATGTATAAATTTGGAATAATTTTTAAAAATTGTATGACTTTTATAACTGCTATTTATTTCTTTGTGAGTCTTCTAAGTTTGCCTTGTGACAAGAGTATCTGTTTATGTTTTTAAATACTTGCTTAATAATATCCTGGTAAAAAACTAAATATGACATAGTATAATTAAGAATGTGGATTTTACATAACCAAATAGTCTTTGTTATAGCTTGTGCCCTATGCAGTAGCTAATTCTTGGATCCTTATACAATAAATTAAAATGCAAATATCTTTTATCTTTCCTATTACAGGATTGATCTGAAGTTAAACAAAAAACCACGAGCTGTAAGTATCAGCTAGCTCTTTTCAGAGGCTGGCAATTTTGTAGACGCATAGAAAAATGTATTTGTCTTCAAAGCTTGAGAATTCCTAATCTGGGGTCACAATTCTAGTTTGATTTGTTTATTTATTTATGCATTGAAGAACTGGGGTGCAGGCCAGAGGCGCAGGGGGGTGAGAGGATTCACCAGAGACAGAGTGGGGAGTAGAACAGGCAGATCTACTGAAATACACTGCTAAGGGGAGCAGCTGGTGAAACAGGAGCGGTCTGCTGCACCATGTGGCTTAGCTTCCTGGCCAAGGATGGAATTCAAGCTGTCATTGTGGGGCCTTCTCAGTGGTAGTGCTAAGACTTAACCCCTATGCCACCAGGGAGGCCCCAACTCTAGTTTTAAAGTCTAGTATCCATTTGGATATAATTTAACTTTTAGGTCTTAATTTTTTTTATATTTTGGAAAGAGAAGGGGGGTCACACATTTTTACTGAAGAGAAATTCCCTCGACTTAATAAATTGTTAATACTAATTTTTTTTTTTTTCTCATTGGTAAACTTAGGAGATCTGATAAGGGCAGACTGATGTTTAGGTCCCTTTGTAGACTCAGAAAAAAGGCCATTTTCAGATGTGAAATATTGTATGTTACATTTGAAATAGAATTTTTAGCTATAGAATGTCCCCAAGCAGAGTTATGAAATTCTTTTTCTTAAGTTCACACCAGTGTTCTGATGAAACTAAGTTGGGAATTTGTTTTTCTCTCTTCAGGACTATTAGAAGATTCATTAGTGCAGAAGCTTCCAGGCTATAGAGCCCTGCTTCCCTTCTCTGACCTCACAAAGATAAACATCCCTCACCTGAGTGTGTGGCCATCCACCTCTGCTTTCCCAAACCCAGTGCCTGTGACTGAGTAGTTTGTTCTGAAATGTGGTGACAGACAGGTCATTTCCATAAGACCACATTGGATCATTTTACCTTGTGTCATTTTTAGTAACACAACTGCAGGAAGACCAAGACATGGTTAAAATCCCAACAAGTTGCTAACTGTGCATTTCTCCCTTCCTGGAATGAATGTCTCCTCCCAAACTGGCTGGCACCAGCTTCGTCTCTGATACCCATCAAGAAATGTTCTCTGGTTTTGTTTTATGCTGAAAGTAGAACCAAGGGTCACATTTCAGAGGGAGGCTGTAAATATCTGGCATTTTCTTATTTTGTTTGTGTTTTATTATTTTTCTATTGTTGCTTTTACCATCTTTCTTTCTTTGGGGACTTTTTGTAATGCCATTGTATGTACAGCTCTTACCTTCCTGCTGGCTATCTGATGATCTGTTTCGTGCATTTGCCAATATTCTTAACTGAAAGTAATTTAGTTTACCGTAAATAAAATGGGTAACTTGGCTCTTTGTTTTTTTTACAGAGGGAAGGTAAAGAGTGTTTATTTAATAATTACCTAATCTGAAATCTGAGTTAGAAGCAGTTTCATGTTCTAGGAACAGGAAAAGCTGAACAATAGAAGTTTGAATCAATCCTTTTAAAATAGATATTTTTATTCTTTTGTACAAATAAAATTTCACAGGCTTTCATTTCTCATGCTTTACTTTTAAACCCAAGATTTTTTTTTTTTAGTTATTTTTATTTATTCGTATCATGCCTTATGGAAATTTCATCCTTTTTCCATCTTTTCTCTCTTTGCTGGGATTTGCCTGACTAAATGTTGCTCTAAGATCACTAAGGTATATGGCAAGACTGAAAAATTACACCCAAAGCTGAGTGAAAGACAGGATCGAGAGCCAGCATTGTCCAGCAGAACCCCTCCCTTCCTTCCAGGCTGAGGAATTTGCTGATCATTGTTACCTGCCTCGAGAGCAGTGGTGAGCTACCTCAGCTGCACATTGGAATCACCTGGGAAGCTTAAAAAATGCTGGTGCCTAGGTCTCTCTACCAGAGACTGACTGGGGTACAGTCTGGTTGTTAAAATTTTCTCTCAGAGACCCCCTAGGATTCTGATAAGAAACCAGGTTGCGAAACATTGCATTAAGAGACTGGATGGTTTGATTTATCCTATGCTGTAAATCAGTCTGAGGGGTAAGATTTGGGGCCTCACCTTTACTTTGACTCTGTTTAGTCATAGTGCTTTACTTATGCCCATATCTTTATTAGAAAAAATATGTTCCATTTGTGATAATATTGGTAGAACTGAATATGAATGGTGTCTGTTATCAAAAAAAGTCTACCTTGTTAGATGTACAAAGCTTTCACTCTTGTTCTGAAATAAACCTTTTTTTTTTTTTTTTTTTTGACTCTGTGACTATTTAGATGTCTGGCTGTTATCTTTGGTAACAACTCCAATGTCAGGGTTTTGAAGGAAATAGCTTATATTTAGATTGTTCTTTAAAAAACTAAACCAGAAACAATGTCTCTGTATCCTTTGTCAGTTTGTCTTCTCTTTCAGGAGGGAGGGGCAGGATTCTTGCAGTTTGCTTAACTGAGGAAAGCACACAGCAAACCTTAACATATTTCTGACTCACAGTTTGACGTTTGCTAGAGATAAAGTAGCTATGCCCTTTAAAACATGTTATTTAAAAGCACATCACATGTATGAATACACACGTGTATATAATCATTGTTAGAGAGACTGGTTGCTTTATACTATTTTTTTCTATAAGGTTTAATCATTAATGAGGGGACCGCCCAGTTTACCTGTAAGTTGGCCATATATACTGGAGGGGATGAAGTCCTGAGAGATTGTTAAGGTTCCCCACATAGGGGTGGTTTAGGAAAAAAGCACCAAGGGATCTCTGCCTGCCATACATGTGATATTGGTAACTCCTGTTAGGAACTCAGTTTGCCTGACTTTAAAAGAGGGTAAAGTAACGACTTCGATGATATCATTGATCAAAAGACAAATGGGCTGACGTGGCGGGACACATTGAGTGGTAGTTTTCTGACAGTATCCATCTATAAGGTTTGGTGGGTGGAGATAGTTTTCTGGGTGGTCGGCATCCTCTCAGCAAGCCCTGCCAGTGACCCTGAGCTGGAATGACTGCTGGGACCACCACCAGGAGGTGCTTCCTTTTGGACTTGGCTTCCCCAGGGTGGTTGAGTTTGGAATGGTACTATCAGGTTTTAGGGACAGAAAATAAATTGGCTTAAAGAACCAGAGCCACCATCGCAAGGTGTCTCCCGTGAGGTGTCCTCCCTCTTTCCCTCTGCTGTAATTCAGAGGGACGGGAGGAAATGGGAGGTTGAAGGCAATCCTAGTCATTGATTTCTGCCATTTGGGAAAGTTTGGTCTTTGGTATTTAAGCCTTAATAATATCTAAAATGGGAATAGGTTGTCCTCTGCTCCTGTTGGTCGTTGGAAGACATTAAAAAGTTGTCATTACTTTTCATGTCATCCTGGGAGGATGGTGACTGCAGATCTTGCTGGGGAATCTCAAGGATGCGCTTCCAGGGGCAGGGAAATAGTTTAATCAAACGCATATGTTCTAAACACCATCGGACCCTTAGTTTGTGAAGATGGAGTGCAGGAGCAACCCACAAAGTAAAAGGTTAGAAGCTATTTGGGGCCTAGGAGAGGGACTGAAGGGAAGGGTCACCCTGGATTTGACAGGGCCAATGTGGGTGGAGACCATGGGCTTTCAAAGATACTGTGCATACCTTGAGGACCTTGGCGGTTTTTTTTTTTTTAATTGATCAATAAATAGGCTAAGTGTTCTCTCCACAGTTGAGTTTATACTGTTGGCTGGGAAAACCCCTTTTTAAGTTTTGGAAGCAGATATTAGAACTATTTCCAGCTCCACGCTTGCCATCGGGTGCTGAGGTGATAGAAATACTCCCAAATGTTCTATCAAGAATATTCTTGACAACCCTTGTGGTAAGTATGGGAATTAAAACAAGTGTTAAGTGACCTAAGCTGGAACACAGTAAGTGTGCCGTTTTGAAACACTCCATGATTTAGTTTCTGCTTTTGTTCTGATCTCTGCCTGTCAACCTTATTCCAAGTTACTCCTTCCCAGAGGCTTTCTCCTCCTTCCCAGAGGCTTTCTCACAATTAAAAATTCTTAGCTGAAGCTCAGCTATGCAAGCTGTGCACTGATTTGGTGCCTTGTGGAGAGACAGCAGGTTGTACTTCATACACATTGATGGATTCAGTGCCCAGGAAGGTGTGTGCAGGAAGAGAGACGGCAGAGATGGCGGTGCTCAAGGGCAGTTCTTGTTCCTGGGACAATTCGATGTTATCATGTCTGGATTTATAACTGTTCAGCTACATGACTGGAAGCCGTTTCTACTTTGAGGTGAGCTGTGGTGGAGTTGATTGTGATCCCCGCTTTGTAAGGCTATGGTCCAGAAGGGAGGGTGGCAAGAAGAACATACCAGGCCTTTTTTTTTTTTTCAAACCTTTTTTAGTTTCTCACTTTGAATGTGTTAATATACATAAATATTAGCTCATTAGATCATTTATAAGTATGTTATATAATTATGTTATAAATTGTTATAAGTATGTTATAAATGTTAGATTGAGTCACAAGCAATAGCTGATATTCACCTGTTTTAATTTTCAAGTGATTATTTTTTTTAATTTTTTTTTTAAAGATTTATTTATGCAAGCACTGGGTACAGTCAGAAGCACAGGAGGGTGAGAGAATTCACCAGAGCCAGAGCGGGGAGCAGAGCAGGCAGAGGGCCGAAGTACACTGCTGAGGGGAGCAGCGGGCGGCAGGAGAGGTCTGAGCGCCATGTGGGACCCTCCTCTAGTGGCCGGGGAGCAGCTGGGGATCGAACTGGCGCGGCAGAGGCTGCGGGCAGCTTCGCAATCCAGTGCTCAACCGCTGCGCCACCAGGGAGGCCCCAAAGTGATACAGTTTAAATGCATATGCACGTGGGCCTCCCCTGGTGGCACAGCCCTTGAGCGCTGGGCTGCAACGCTGCCCACAGCCTCTGTAGCGCCGGTTCGTTCCCCGGCCACTAGGCGAGGGTCCCACAAAAAAAAAAATAAATAAATAAATAATGCATATGCACGTCGTAGGGATGTCTGCCCCAAGCTTTTACTGTTTGTGCACAGAAACAAATTTTGGAGACCTCTGACCAATATATCCCTCCCTAAGTCCCTCTCCCCACCCCAGTAACTTACTTCTTTACCCCAAGGGGACTTTAAGATTTATTTATGCATACAAGAGCTGGGGTACAGGCCAGAGGTGCGGAGGGTGAGAGGATTCACCAGAGACAGTGGGGAACAGAACAGGCAGGTTGACCGAAGTACACTGCTGAGGGGCGAAGCGGGCGAGTCAGGAGAGATCTGCTGCGCCACATAGGTTGCTCCCTGTCCAGCCAGGCATTGAACTCATGCTGCAGAGGCTGCCGACAGCTTTACAGGTTGCGTCATAACCCCTTGCGCCACCAGGGAGGCCCACCAAGGAGACTTTAAAATGTTTACTTTGGGCCTCCCTGGTGGCCCAGCAGTTGAGCGCTGGGTTGCGAAGCTGCCCGCAGCCTCTGCAGCGCCGGTTCGATCCCCGGCTGCTCCCCGGCCACCGGAGGAGGGTCCCACATGGTGCGCAGACCTCTCCTGCCGCCCGCTGCTCCCCTCAGCAGTGTACTTCGGTCCTTCTGCCTGCTCTGCTCCCCACTCTGGCTCTGGTGAATTCTCTCACCCTCCCATGCTTCTGACTGTACCCAGTGCTTGTATGTATAAATAAATAAATGAATGAATAAATAAATCTTTAAAATGTTTACTTTGAATAAATAAATGGGCAAATGGCATGCAGTCAAATGGTAATATAGTGAGTGAAGACTTAATCCTGGCCCTCAGCTACCAGTTATCCTTCCCAGAGATAGTTTCTTGTGTATCTTTCCAGATGAACTCTCTGTGTGTGTGTGTATGTATATGTGATATGTATATATGTGTATGTGTGTATATATGTAAGCAAAGTGTTGGCCTACATGTCTCGTGTTATAAATGTTTGATTTAGTCACAAGCAATAGCTGATATTCACCTGTTTTAATTTTCAAAAGTGATATAGTTTAAAAGCATATGCACGTTGTAGGGATGTCTGCCCCAGAAATAGAAATAGAAATAGAAAAGGGTAGCCTATTACCCACGCTGTATACCCTTGCTTTTTCCATCTAGCATAGAGTTTAGAAAGTGTTATATATACCAGCTGTCTCATCATTTGTATTGGCTACTTCATGTTCCATTGCATGTAGAGACCAACATTTATTTAACTAGTCCTCCACTGATGGCGGGAATATTGTTTTCCATCTTCTGCTGTTTCAAACAGTGTGGTGGTAGCTTACATACATCATTTTGTAAGTATGTAAATACCTGCTGGATACATTATCCTAGGAGGGATTAGAGTCAAAGGATGTGCCTCCTGATTTCATCTTCTAGACCACTTTTTAAAACATGAATCCTTGCATTTTTTCTCTTTCTTCTTTCCTGCTCATTCCTTTAGTTCCTGAGAATTTTTCTTGGGTAATTTATTACCCAGAACAGTTGAAATTGGAATGGTAAGCTATAGGAGGCATCACTGTGATCTGTTGTTTTCCAGAATGAACCTGAAAATGCCTTTAAAAATTCCGTGTTTTTGCCTTGGCACTTATTTTCTAGATTGTTCTCTTTAGATTCTTATTTTCAGATATTGCTTCTCTGGGCCCTGGGTTCAGGCCAAAGTTGGTGGGTGGTCTTCAGCCTTAGGCTAGCTCCCTCCCCACAAGCAGCAG